TTAGATCAGGCAATGAGAGTACAAAGCTGCGAGGTATGGACTGAGGAAAGCCATTACAGCGGCCAAGAGGCAGTACAGAGAGAAGCTGGATGGCTTCTATTCTTCTGCTGACCTTGGGCGGATGTGGCAAGGCTTGCAGCACATCACAGAGTTTAGGACCACCATCAGCACCATCAGCTCTGCAGGCAGTCTGCTAGCAGCTAGATGACCTCAATGTATTGAGGCAGCAGGACCAGATAGCATCCCGGGACGGGTCCTTAAAGCATGTGCTAACGAGTTGGCTGATGTTCTCACTCCCGTCTTCAACCTCTCCCTCAGCCAGAGTACCGTCCCCACATGCTTCAAGACCACAACCATCATCCCTTTTCCCAAGATAATATAAGATAACATAGTAATTTTTGCACATAAGGTCATCTTACATATTAAACCAGCATGGGCAGGGATAGCTCAGTAGGTAGAGTGGTGGCCCCATGATCGGAAGGTTGGGGGTTCGATTCCCCTGAACAGCTACTCTAAGGTACCCCTGAGCAAGGTACCGTCCCTACACACTGCTCCCCGAGCACCCAATGACTGCCCACTGCTTCACTGAGTGAATGGGTTAAATGCAGAGAGGAATTTCCCCACGGGGATCAATAAAGTAAACTTTCTTTCTATTAAGCTCTTTTACACACAAATCTATTTAACACTTCAATTTGTGTCTCCATTTATTTATTTATACTATTTGTATTTCCATTGTTCTAGTTCTATTTGTACATTTTAACCAGCATCTGTGTGCGGACAGCAGAGAAAGAATTTCATTGCACAGAGAAATGCTTTTCTTTATACACATGACAATAAACGCTTTGAATCTCTTGAATCTTGAACTGCTTAGTACAGGGACAAAGTTGACAACAGGGTCCAAAGACTCTGGCAGGGGTGGGGATATGAATTTTCCCACGGGGTCACATGAGAAGCTGGGACTGTTGTTGAGGTCTGCACTAATAAGCTTATAGACAGTGGCCCTCCACAACAGTCCCAGCTTCTCATGTGACCCCGTGGGAATATTCACTCCCCATCCCTGCTCTGGAGACTGTGCCATTGACCTCCTTTGGGTTTTGTCTTAAACTATATTATTTACATTAAGGAATTATATACCTGATCCCTCAAAGCATTGTTTTTTACACTCTAATTAAGTTTATATTGCTGAATTTAGGCCTATTTTTAGCCCACGAATAAATATTTTCTGTTTGAACCCTTTTCATGTTGATCATAAAAGGAAACGTATGTCCAATGAAAGACAATAGGAAGGTCGATTATTTCTGCACCAAAGCGCACGTTGTTGTCATTCCCAGCCTGTATTTATTAATTGCTTGGATTTAATCTGTAGTTAAATTGATAACTGCATACAAAAACATTTGCAACAGCGAACAGCAATTAAAATGTAGAGTAAATGCCAGGAAAAGCTAACAGGGAGTGCAAGAAAAACCGGTATAACTCGTTGGGAAATTCCACTGTGGGAGGAACTTTGTACCATGTTTTACTTTTTAGAGAAATGAGCGTGTTTTTGTGGGCATTCGTTCTGCGTTCTGCGTCTTTCAAGGACCGTCTGCCTGCTTGACCTAAACAAGTAAGTGATTATTTATACCAAGCAGACAGCGTAGAGAATAAAAATACATGAAACAAGACATCAGCTGCCTTTTCTTCAAGATAGACTGACTTTTGATCCAAATATTGACAGCAATATTTTTAAATAGAGGCACAGAAATAGTAAAAGTGGATATCTCAGAGATGATGTGTAAAATGTAGGTGTGTGTATTGTGGATGTAATTTCAGGTTTCAATCTTTAAATTAGAGCAACAACTAGTACTACTTTTACTTTTTTAACACGTTGACTGGAGTGTTAGAGAGAACTCAGTAAGGGGAGAGCAGTGGCTAAATAAAATACATTAATAATGAGCTGAGGGCTGATTTATTGGGAAAAATTCAAGTAAGTGAGTAAAATAGTTAATATAGTGATGAAATTGTAAGAAAGGGTTCAGAAACAATTTCTCTTTATATTGTTTTCATTTGAATTTTACCCATTGTCTCAAAACGTCTTTCTTTTAATTTTGTTAATCTACGCTGAAATAATGAGCATTTCTTTGATTTTAAATTTGACTACAAAGAAAATTATTGTAGTCAATAATTCAGTCAATGAAAAGTCTGAGATTTTCTCCTTCTATTGCCTCTTTCACAGCCATTTTTTGATCTCTTTACTGGTAAATCCATTAGATTCATAAAAATGTACCTTCAGACTCTGTTTGTGAACCCTTGTATATTTGCAGTCTGCAGATTAAACTTAAACATAGTTGTTGTCTTAGAAGCATCTGAAATAAATCTGTCCACTTTTCTCTGTGCTACAGCATGATGAGCTTTCATGTGTTTCGCCCTTTTCTGTGAAATACACTGGACGCTTTACTTTGATCTTATGTTTAAAAATATCCTTTAGTCTTCTTGGTTTGCCATTTAGATTTTTTTAAACTTATATTTATACACCTGCATCTTTAAAATCTGACCTAAAGAGTTTAAATCCCATAGTGTACAGAAGAATTTCAACATGTGTGGGTAACAAAATGTTATTTCTCTGTCAGAAACATGGCCTCCACATTGTCTGAGGAGCAATTTCAGTGCAGCATCTGTTTGTACAGCTTCAAAAACCCTGTCTCTATCCCGTGTGGGCACAATTTCTGCCTGGAGTGCATCAAACGTTATTGGGACGTGGCGCATAAGTCGGATTGTCCGCTGTGCAAAGAATCCTTCAGAAGTCGCCCCGAACTCAGGGTGAATTGGGCCTTAAAAGAAATCACTGAAAGATTTCAAAGGTTGGTTGACTGTAACTAGTGCTTTATTTCAACGTTTTAGCACATTTGATTGAAACTAATCAGATGTACATCATCATCTTAAAGCTTGTTAAAGGAAATGCCAGGATTCAAACCAAAGAGACCCATCATTCCACAACAGCCATCCACGTCTGGAGAAGAGAAGGACATCAAGATCAAGGTGGGAGAAAGAAGTGGTTAAATATAACGATACTCATGGATTATCTTGTAAGGAACTCCAGATAATCCAAGATGTAAAATACATGTTTTCAACTTCAACTTCTGCAGACTCGGATAAAGAAGACCCAAGAGCAGTATCAACAGATGATCCAGATCCGAATCAGAAAGACAGAGGAGATCAAACAGTCAATGGAGCTGAGCAAAGTGAGCATTGCTTTTTAATCATTTACAGACATGAACATTTCTCGGCCTGTTTGCTCTCTAAGAAACAAAACTTCAACTAATTTGTTTGGAGAAGCTCACACCAGAAGAAAAACAGCAGTGTTGTTCTGCTTCATGTAGACTGTATTTAAAAAGAGGAGACTCCCCCTGCTGGTCATTTTAAAAAATGCATTAGCTTCACTTTTCAAGCCTGGAATCCACTTTTGGTTTTTATTTGCAGTTTATCCTGCTATTATATCCATGCAGAGTGTAAGTAACCTTGTGCACAAAAGACTCTGATTACAGGGCAGCGTAACTATAGAAACTCAAAAGCTAAAATCCTTGCATATCTTCTAAAGTCAGGATTACTTCAGGCAAAGTATTTTTCCATCTTTAGTAATTCATATATGGCAGCGTGACTCTGTTTTAAGAGCTCTTTTAAACTTTTATTAGTTGTTTTTATTGATATAATAAACCTTCATTATGTAGACATAAAGAGACATGGAAAAGCAAGGCTGGAGGTGGGTTGGGACAATAGATCCACTGTTATCAGAGGACTGCAGGCTGGTCTCACTGAGGTCATCTTCTTTTTGAAGTTATGTCTTCTTTTGGGGGGAAATGTGTTAAATTATGGGCATATTAATAAGAATCATCGTACATAAGCAGTTTTTCCCTAAGTTTAATTTGTTTTGCATTTCATTGAAGAAGGGGTAGCAAAGTACAAAGGTGGTGCAGTTTAACATATTTCACATATTAATTAAACTCATTTCATATCTGCAGAGAAATAAAGAAAGAGAGATACAGGCCAGCGTTCAGGCTGCCACAATGATGGTAAGTGCCATTGAGAGAAACCAGGCTTTGCTCATCGAGGAGATCGAACGGAAGCAGGAGGTGGCTGAGAAGAGAGCAGAGGAGCTTCTCAAGGAGATCAGCCAGGAGATCAATGAGCTGCAGAAGAGACGCAGTGAGCTGCACCTCCTGGAGCACATTGAGAACCCAGTTCAACTCCAGCAGGTCAGAATCAGTATTTATGTTTAATATTTCTGCGCAGCCAAGCAAGTTTAAAGCATCTAAAGCGATTGTAATATGATATGAATACAAACCGGCCTGTCTGCTTGTAAGTGAAATCATTTATTTGTGCTCACTTCTGTCACTGATGCTGTTTTAGAACTTTTTACATCTGGATGCTCCGATGTCCGTCAAGCACTGGGCTGACGTCAGAGTCCAATCGGAGAGCTACGCACGGACTGTGAGGAGAAATTTCTCCAAACTGGTCGACATCTGCCAGGAACTGGAGAGGAAGCTGTGTGCAGAGGGTCTGTAATCCTTATGATGACATGACATTATAGTCTCTGATTTTAGAACACAAGACTTTCTTTGCATCACCGGTTCCTTTGGTTTGATCACAATCCTGCCACTTTTTGTATTGCATATATATTTATATCATATTTTACACTATAAGTCTGCACATAACTAACTTTAGTGATACACTTAGGGTGCAAAAATAAATCTTGTAACATTAGCTAAAATATTAGTGAATATTTTAATTGTTCTACGTAATGTTTAATGAAACTAAAATGACACAGTTTCTTTTCTGATCTTTTGCAGAAGTAAACAAGATGAATAAATATGCAGGTATGTGTAAGGATATGATATTTATATTGTGATTACGTTATATGGATTACACAAGATTGAAAATTTGTCACCACCATATCTAATAAAGACTGTTACTGATGTCAGTAGAAAGAAAGTGGCTCTTCACACTTATTCAAATAATCTTTATACATGTACATGATTCAGAATACAGATACTCTGTTGCCAAAAAAGGTGACTTCAGTAACAATATGCTTCAAAACAACAGGGTTATTTTTTCATATTATTTCTTTAATCCTGAAAAAATTTGAATAAATATGAAATAGCAAATCTTTTTATGTGGTTTTTTTTTCTGTTTCTGTCTCCAGTGGATGTAACTCTGGATCCTGCTACTGCTGCTGGCTGGGTGGTCCTGTCCCCGGATAATAAAAAGGTGAGCTGTAATTATCAGCTACATGATTCCTGACTGTAACACCTTAACAAGAGCTCGGAGTTAACCTCTTAAGCCCCAAGCCAAACTGATCTCCTGCCTTTTGCCCCCGTATCAGGGGGCGTTGGGGCTTAAGAGGTTAAACAAAGTCTTGTCCTGCTGTAAAAAATGATCCAACAAAGTGTTGATACATGTGCAGCTGTTTGTATAATTAAGTGTAAAGTCAGTTAGTTAGTTAGTTATACACACCTAGTTCAGTTTAGCCCTGTAATATTATTGGGAAAACACTTATCAAAACACCTATTATTGGGAAATTGCATTTCTTGTCTGTGAAATTAGAGTCTGTGAATTACAGACAACAGCTAATGGATGACAAATATTATGCAGGAACTAAAATGACAGAAACTAGTGGATCAGAAGTCAGTAAGATGCAAAATAATGACAATTACGGCATCAGTAGTTGTTGTGAATTAATGTGATCGTGGCAATCCACAGGTGAGCATGAGCTACCAGCAGTGGACGACCCCGCTACCTGACGACCCCCGCAGGTTCAATTCCTGCGTCGCCGTGCTGGGAAAACAAAGCTTCACATCTGGGAAACGTTACTGGGTGGTTCAGGTAGGATAAAAGGATAAAAGAAATAACTGCTAAACAGCTTATAGTCGTGATGAGTGTGAATATTATCCAAAGTGAAACACAACAGCTTTATTTAGAGTAAGAATTGGGTTAAAATACACCAAAGAAAATCACACATGAACACCACGACACAACCTGTGACTAGGACTGTATAATGTATATGATCTAAATAAGCAGGAAAATAAAACTCTTTACGCCCCCTGGTGGCTACATGATGTTCACTTCTGATTTTATATCTGCTGCGTTTACTGTCAGTAAAAAATTTATTATCATTTAAAAAGCAACCTAAAGAAATGAAGCTCTACTCTGCAGTTTAGCATCATTTTTGTCCTTCTTTGTGTTTCAGGTTGGGGATAAAAGAGACTGGGATCTTGGGGTGGCCCGGGAGTCCATCAACAGGAAGGGCGCCATCACAGTTTGCCCTGATAACGGTTACTGGGCAATATGCCGACGTAACGGTGGTAGCCTGTGCGCCTGCGCTGGGCCCGCCGTCACTCTTCACCTTAAAGAAATTCCTCAGAAAATCGGTATATTCCTGGACTATAAAGAAGGCTCGGTGTCCTTCTACAACACAGAGGCAAAGACTCACATTTATACTTACAGCGGGCTCACTTTCACTGAGCCGCTGTATCCGTACTTTAACCCCTGCATAAATGACAACGGGAAGAACACGGGCCAGCTGGTTATCTGCCCGATTGAGGCTGGGATCACTGTAGACACTTCAGCACGTTGAGCGAGAGCCTCGGAGGATCCTTTTTAAAACCTTGAGAGCATCCACATTCATTGTCTGGATAAGTTGTAATCTGTAAATGCAAACAAAAGGCACTGGGAGCAGAACGAAAGACCAAGCTTAGCTCCTGCAAGGTGTTTGGGCATATTATTTATTTATTCCAGTCAAAAGTCATAGTTAAACCACGAGGTTTGCTAATGTCTCTTAATTTTCCTGATGATATCTATAAAGAGGTTTTTAAAAAGAGCTAAAGACCCAAGCAAGGGTTCATCTGAACCATCCACTTATGTCTACTAAGGTAGGACAAATGTATGTAAATGAGGATAAAACTTCCACTGATAAGTCCACAGTTATCTGACAATGACACATTAGTGATGGTTTAGGAACTATAAGATGCACCTATACACGATCACTACGGTGGATAGCACTGCATGAATCCTGCCTACATTTTTACACTACTCATTCTTTGGTCATTTATTAATATGGTATAACTTAGATTATAGCTCAAGACCTGATTTAAAATAACTTTATGACTCCAACCAGATGCCTCTATCAAGGCGCTTTATATTGTAAGGTAGACCCTACAATAATACATACAGAGAAAACCCAACAATCATATGACCCCCTATAAGCAAGCACTTTGGCGACAGTGGGAAGGAAAAACTCCCTTTTAACAGGAAGAAACCTCCGGCAGAACCAGGCTTGGGGAGGGTCGGCACATAGCACCACAGTAGTATATTAACATCAGTATAGCTTGTGTGTTGTTACGATATAAATATATATTCTTAATGCTTATTTTTTGTTTATATTGTTTTAGAGAGCCCAGTGTAGGAATACGCCCTTTTGAGTTAGAATGTATGCCAAAAGTCACAGAGTAGACTGCAGGTCTTGTGCAGAAAACAGGAAGTATAGAAAAAGCGGAACTAAATAAACTGTGTGTGTGTGTGTGACGTGCAGCAGAACTATATAACCATGCCGGCTTCTAATGCTTTCAGATCTGAGCTTGTGTGTTCGTGTGGCGGGTCTCCATTTGCTGAAGTGTAAAAATAAAGATTCTTTTTTGAGCTTGACCACTCCAGTCCAGTCTTTCTCTGTCGCCAAAAGAATTCAAAAGTACGGAATTTAATAGCGCCTAAGATATCAAGTATATATAATTACTTCTCATTATTGTAAAAATTTTAATTATTGTGATGTATTTAAGCTGAAATAAATGTGAACGGAATCCCTGAGAGTCTGCTGTGTTCTTTTAACTTGCAGTTTTTATCCCAACGCAGAGTTTAGACAAATTCTAAAGGTAGAATTAACCCTTGTGCGGCCTGGATAAAAGAAGGGGGGGGATCACGCAGACCCCGGCAGCACGGACCCAGGTCTCGTCGCGAAACAGGGCTCTGGCTCAGGGTGGGGGCGGATGGGGGTCAGGCGGACACCGGGTATAGCGGGTCTCATCACGGCGTCGGACGAAGGCACCTAAGCGGCTGTAACCCTCCATCGATCGCGTACGTTACGATAGCAAACCTTAGGGTCTGGAGGGACCCCCAAGCGCCACGGCAACAACTCTCAACTTCACATCATCATCATCATCATCATCACCGTCTCCTTCTCAAGAGTGTTTGCGTAAACCGGCCTAAGTGAGGACCTCGGACTCTCCCTGCCTCCCCGTCCTCTTTCCTCCTTCTTCTCGGATCTCCTGCTCCTAGCTTGCGATTGATTAGCCGGATGGGCCCCAGGTTATGCGTAAACCGGCCTAAGTGGGAACCGCGGGCGCTCCGGCCTCCGTTGGTACTCTGTGACCCTTTAGTGATCGCAATGGGGTATTTCGCCACCCCAACCCACATTCATAAGTTATGATGGCAAACACTGGAGTCTGGAGGGACCCCGAACCGCCGGAGCAAACAACTCACAACTTCACATCATCATCATCGTCGTCTCCTTCTCAGCAGTGTTCGCGTAAACCGGCCTAAGTGATGACCTCGGACTCTCCCTGCCTCCCAGTCCTCCTTCCTCCTTCTTCTCAGTTCTCCTGCTTCTCGCTGGCGAGCGCTTAGGCGGATGAGCCCCGAGTTATGCGTAAACAGGCCTAAGTTGGGACCTCGGGCGCTCTGTGTTCCGTGGGTACTCTGTGATCCCTTAGTAATCGCGATGGGGTATTTTACCACCCCAACCCACATTCGATCGTAGGGCGATCGTGGCGGGAAAGAGTGCGTCCAGAAACACCATCCTGGGGGGATGCGAATGCTTTCAAAGAGGACGTTTTGCCCAAGTCTGTCACCGACGGCTGTCTAAGAAAAGAGGTAGAGGGCGAAGTCGGAAGAAAAATCGCTGTGATCGACACTCCGGGGCTGTTTGACATGACCAAAACGCGAGACGAGGTGAAAACAAAAATCGAGGAGTGCGTCGAACTGTCGG